TACTGAAGTTGGGCTAGCTGGTAAGATGTGCTACGTGAGCGCTAACGCGACAAAGCTATGTTAGCATAACATAAACAATAAAGCTGGAGGACGTTTTTCTACTCAATGAAAGTTAACGTAAGTGTTCCCAATGGTTGGGGGGAAATGCAATGGCATGGCAGGATACTGTAAATGGACAAAACATCAGTCAGGAGAACCACAGAGATAATCTGTCTGTGAAGGTTCTCAGTCATCCAGGTCATTGTAGTCATCTGACCTCAGGAATTCGCATGATAAGGTGGGGCCAGGTTTCACAATGAGCTCACCCGAAACTCTGGCTGATTGGGACCCACACCCAGTTTCACACCTTGGCTCAGGCGATTAGAGGATCATCAGGGGTCCCTTTTTCCCTCTGTGGGGGGAAACTCCCACTAGGTTTATATCTGGGACTCTCCACCATTTGACCTTAGAACTGAAGAAGCTTCTCGGATGAAGGTGAAACGTCTTCAAGTAACTTAAAGAAGTTCAGACGCTTTTCTTTGCAAGCTCCTTTGACCACAGAGATAATCCATCCACAATACGAGGTTAGTCATTAATATACTGCTACATGGGAAAATCCATTATGTATTTTAGTCATGTGACCAATTAAACTAAGGTAGCGGAGGGCATTACACAGCAGTTATTTGGTTTGCTCTCAATTTTGACAGCCCTATAAACTGAGCTTTAAAATGATTAGCGGTAATAAATATTATATACATATTCCTCGGACTCATTCTAAATATGGTAAACTAAAAACTAATCTGTGTTGGTATTTTATTTGTTTTTCAGTTTATTTGTGAGGGAGGGCAGCCAAGAAAACAGCCAAGTCTCCTCCTCTGATAAACCTCCATTTGAAAAAGGTTCATCTGACTCTGACTGTAAATAATTTTTCATTTGTCACCTCAGGATTTACTCTGAAATACAGGAAGGGAAATCGTGGCTCAAATAATTACCTATGAAACCATTTCTTTATTTTTCACACCAAACTGTTTTGTAAGACAAACTTTACAGAGTTCATTGAATACAACTAATAACTTGAGCTTTCACAACAGAGCAATAAAAAAATCCAACAAATTAAAAACAGAAAATAATAAAATTAATCATTGATTAAAATCCAAAATGATGAAACTCCAGCTGGATTATTGTAATGGTCCAAATCAATGTTAATTACCTCCTAATACTCATAACAACAAATCATAGTGTTCTCTTTGAGAAATGTAGATTCTCTCATTTAATATACAATAATAATAATGACTCACGAGGCCTCTAATTATAAGTGTTAGCTGGTTACAGGGGTGGATCTAGAGAAATTTTCTTAGGGTGGCATAGAAATCAAATGGGGTGGCAAAATCAAAGTCTTCTTTTTGTCAAACACATACGCAGGTGGTTACATATGGTTAAAATGAGTCAAATGCAGTAAGTACACACGTTTTTCATATAAATATAGTCTGTAACTCAATTATTGTCTGTAGCCCACATAATTAAACACTTTAGTTACGTAAAACAAGTGAGTTTTGATTGTATGTACTGTACAGCCTGTATAATAAATACATATGTAGCCCAATAAGTATAAAATCCAGAAAGCTACACAACATGGGGCGGTTCATTTACAAACACAGGTCTAACTTAAGTTTCACTGTTTTTTGTTAGAAAACAAGCACATTGTTACAGCTTAAACCGTCATGAACAAAAATTTAAACCTAATTTTTCATGATTTGTTGGATGAACCCACTGAGGTCTGAAATACAACCGGCCATGTTTGACTCCTTTTGAGTTTATGTTTGTATTTCACCCTCAAATTGTTTTATTTTATTTCCTCCGTTGCCTTGTTTGGTGTCATTCTTTTCAGCTCAACTGAATTTAGTTGTTTTTTTTCACTGACATACTGCAATAGTATTAGTGATCTGAAATCACACAAAGAACTTAAAATCCTAGTAGTATTTTTTACTGTAAAAAAAACAAACGAAACAAACAAACAAAACAGACATGTTGAGTAAATTTTCATAACTTGAAATGCAAATATAAATTGTACATTTTGTAAACATATACAACTATTTATCTAAAAATGCAGCCAATACACTTGCCGTTTTTTTTTTTTCATTTTGTACAACCATTTAAAAGTATTACTAAAACTAAAATGAGAGAACAATCAGGTGTTGCACTAAGATGCCCCACAAATGATGTGTGCCAGTTAAAAAAAAAATGTTTTTCCACCAAGAGACAGAAGAGCACAGGGATAAACCTGCAGGCCTGACAACAGGAGGTGTATCACTCCGCTGGTTTTCTACTTAGTGACAGTGTTTACATTGCAAATGTGCCTTTGTGACATTCATTAGTGCCCTCACTGACACACAAAACAAGACGACTACACAACAGACTAACTACACAGGACAACACAACACACTAACTATACACTCCACACTAAACGTCACAAATCTCCCACATCTAAAAACCCTCTCTCTCTGTCTCGCTGCCGTTGCTCCCAAAACTCTCCCTCTTCCTAAACAACCAAATCCTACGTGTTGCCTTTTTTTTTTTTTTTTTTTTTTTTTTTTTGGTTATGTGAATACGAAAGAGGGAATTAGTTGTTATAGAAGTGTGTTTGTGAGAATGTGATGGGTTTCCCTCTAAAACTTCCCCAAACTTCCCCCTTGTTCTCTTTTTTTTTTTTTTTTTTTTTTTTTAAATTGGTCAACATGGTACATTTTTCCCCCGATAGGAAACAGGTGGCTTTTTTTTCCCCTTTCTTTACTGTTTTCGCGCAGTCTTTAGAAAACGCTTAAAAAACACACACATAAAAACGTGACGACAGCATTTAGAAAAAAGCGTGGCTGATATATATGACCATAACTCTGGATTTACTGGCCTGTAATTAAAATTAAAAAACTTTGAAGTCCGAACTTTCAATGTTGGCTGAAACAGAGACTCAGCGTGGCTGCAGCTTGTTGCTGTGTCAGCTTACATCAGTCATGTGATTTGGAGGTGCAGCGTGTCCGTGGACCACAGAGGGTTAATAACACTCACCTTGCTTCCATTCCCAGAGTGTAACAACCGACCACCTGTGTGAAATCTGAAATTCCCATGGTGTTATTCAAACTGTGCTCTGACACAATCATAAGCATCGCTGGCTACTGAAAACAAGAAAAAAGCCGGTCCTGCTGTGGGCTGAACCATTTGTTAATGGTGAAGGGGGGTAACACTATAGAATATATTCAGTTTTAGCATTTATATTCACTGTTGACAGTAATTACCCTTAAAGTGTTAATGCTATCTTATTTTAATAAACAACACTGTCATATGCAAAGCCGCGGTAGCACTTGGGGTGGCAAGGGATCATTTTAGGGTGGCACTTGCCACCCCATGCCACCCTTCTAGATCCGCCCCTGGCTGGTTATCAAAAAAAGCAAATACTGCACAAATTAAATCTTTAAATATGTATTAAACTTACGGGCGAGGACTGCTGCAGTATCAGTTCTGTATAACAAATACCATTGCTACATAAAAATTAAAGTACTAAATTCTACTAACGTCTTGATGCATGCTCAATCATCCAGGAAAGTAAATCTCCAAAAGCTGATTCTGTTCATCTGGATGTAGCGTTTTGTGGGAGAAACGTTTCGTCACTCATCCAGGTGACGTCTTCAGTCTCAGCTGACTGCAGGTTTCCCCAACCTTATAAACAGTACATTTAAATAATGACTGAAACCAGCCCACTGAAGGAACAATGGGCTGGGAGGTCAGTTCCTTAATCTTAATTATGCAAATTCTCATGACCATTGATCAACAACCACTGACCAAAACCCACTGATTAATGGCCATGAGTACCATTCACAGAGAGTTGGGGAATGGCTGCAATCATAGCGTTGTAAGATGGTGAAAGATGTACCCTTAGGTCCCCTCCTCGATTCAGAGATGGTCGTTCCATTTTCACGTATATCCCTATTCTCTGCGAATGGTACTCATGGCCATTGATCAGTGGTTGTAAGAAAAGGAAAAAATCTTGGCGTAGATATCTATACTTGCAGATTCATAAATTTAACATCCAAGATTATTCACTGTCTCTTCAGATCCATTGTGATCCAGTGATTTCAGTCCTGCATGATCACGCTGATGTTTGCACAGAGCAGAAAATGAAGTGAATGTTTTTGCACATTAGAAAGAGTAAAACTATTTACAGCGTGGGATCGTTCATGTTTGGAGTATGAACTGAGATTCTTGAAGCTGCTTTTTAACCCCACTGTAACAGAATTCATGTCTTTTTAATTCACTTGATGTGGGGAAGCTTTTCCCACATTCTTTGCAGTAGCTCATTTTGTCACCAGTCTGTCTACATTGATGTCGTTTTACACTCCATTGGTGACTGAAATGCTTTCCCACCACCACAGTGACGACAGGGTGGAGAACTGGATCCATCTGTGTCGCTCTGCTTCTAAACAAAGACACAAAGACAGTGAAGGTCAGGCAATTCCTTCAACATTTTTATCCCGAATGTTGCCTGAAATAAAGAGCATCTCTGCAAACATCCACATTTTACTGTTTACATTATAACGCTCAGCTTACTGGGCGAAAATGACTCTCCATTTCTAGGTAATCTACTTAATGGGAAGATTGGTGATTAAACCCCTGGATGTTCTACTCTGCATGCCACAAGATACTGACCCCAAGCTGCTCTCAGATGCATCCATTGGATTGTGAATGTCAGATAGAGAGAAAGGTGAGGAGCTTTTAAAACTTTACTTTTTCCAACAAGTTTCAGGAGATTTGTATCAGATTTGACTCAATATTCTGTCCATAAAGTTTTCATGTCTAATTTAGCTTTGAAATTAACCCTCTCAGGCTCAAATTAAACTTTTTGTTGCTAATGCACAACCAAGTCCTGCAGTGGTACTTCTGTGTAAAAAAAACTCATAAAATATGTATGTGGGGTAATCAGGTTGTTCGTTTTTAACTGTTGCAAATCGGCAACGCCTGCCTTGAGAGGGTTAAACTTCATTCACGTAATACTTCAAAATAGCGGCAACAGTGCAAATATAAATACATACCTCACAGTAACTGCACTTATAGTCTCTTTCTGGTGTGGATCTGACGGTGAAATCTCAGGAAACGTGGCTCTTTAAAAGCCTTTTCACACAGGTCGCATTTATAAGGTCTCTCCTCAGTGTGGGTAAGTTTGTGGCGTTGCAAGTGTGGATATGTTGTAAACAGTTTGCCACACAGATCACAGGAGTAAACATCATGTCTGGTGTGAATCCGTACGTGAATATTGCGGTAACCTAGCGTCCTGAAAGTTTTTCCACAAATGCCACAGCTGTACGCCTTAATTCCAGAGTGAGTAACTTGATGATGTCGTAAGGTGCTACTGAAAGCAAAAGCTTTACCACACTGATCACAGCTGTACGCCTTGATTCCAGAGTGAGTAACTTGATGATGTCTTAAGGTGCTACTGCAACTAAAAGCTTTACCACACAACTCACAGCTGTATGGTTTAACTCCACTGTGGATGACTTGGTGTCTTTTTAAGTTTCCAGCCTGGGTAAAAGACTTTCCACACAACTCACACATGTACGATTTAACTCCACTGTGGATGAGTTGGTGTTTTTTCAAGTTTCCAGGATCATTAAAAGACTTTCCACACAAGTCGCAGCTGTATGCTTTAAATCCAGAGTGAGTAACTTGATGACGTTGTAAGTGGCTACTGCAAGAAAAAGTTTTTCCACACTGATCACAGCTGTATGCCTTGATTCCAGAGTGGGTAAATTGATGACGTTGTAAGCGGCCACTACAAGCAAAAGTTTTTCCACACTGATCACAGTTGTACGCCTTAATTCCAAAGTGAGCAACTTGATGACGCTGTAAGTTACCACTGCAAGTAAAAGCTTTACCACACATCTCACAGCTGTACGCTTTCTCTTCACTGTGGATGAGTTTGTGTGTTTTTAACCTTCCAGGATGGGTATAAGACTTTCCACACAACTCACAGCTGTATGGTTTAACTCCACTGTGAATGACTTGGTGTGATTTTAGGTGTCCTTTCTGGGTAAAACGTTTTCCACACAAGTCACATCTGTATGGTTTATCTCCACTGTGGACGAGTTGGTGTGCTTTAAAGTTTCCAAGATGGGTAAAATTCTTCCCACACTCATCACAGCTGTATTTTTTCTCTCCCTTTCTTCTGTGAGGTTTGTCG